TATATATATATATATATATATATATACACACACACACATACACGTACATACGTACATACGTACGTACATGCGTGAATCGAGACCGGCATGCGAGTTGGAACTTTGGGGTGTGCGATACGCGTAGGCGTAGGAGTGGTCGGGTACGCATACGGATGCTCTTTGGTTTACGCTTGAATTGAATGCCGGAATGCCGGAGTTGCCAGTCCGATCGGACCTCAGGTGCATACGGATGCTGTTTGTAGCAAAGGTTTCCCGGAAGGGCACCAGCACCAACCAAACAGCCCTACAGTAATAGGCTTAATTATGATGATAACTGGAACGGGCAACGCCCCCGTTAGGCTAGTACTACTGCTTACTCAAGTAGTATTCCAGCCCTCTATTTTTCTATGAGCTCTCTTTTTCTATTCCTGTATTTTGATAATCTTGCATTTCCAAAATGATCTAAGGTTGGGATGGTTCTTCGCATCGCGCCGCACAACCACTTTCTCCTTTCATTTACCTATAACAAATTTACACCCTGCTACCTGCATAATATAGTGTCGCAATTATATTACAGCACCAGCACTACCTTTTTATATTTTTGGTACAAACATTTCATTTCTAGTTCTGCAGATTTTCCTTTTTAGAAAAAAAAAGAACAATTCTTGTTTCTACAAACGTACACAGTCAATTCTTATAAAGTTTTGCAAAAGGACATATAGCCTAGTGATTACAAGAGCCTCAATAGCACTTGAGGTCATGAGTTCGACTCTCCGTGGGAGCGAATATTGCAGGACTTAACGACTTTGTGCTTTCAGTGGTAGACGACGTTTCTCGTTGATAGCTAGGCGTCTGTGGTGACTTCGTCAATCTCGAGGATTTGACGGCGTAGTCTTCGAATGTGCTCATACGGGTAGGTTTTGCGTGCGTGCATTCATAGAGATGAGTGTGCGTGCGTTGTGAGCGTCAAGTGTAGCAACATTCAAAAGCGTAGCTAATAGGTTCTCCTAAAGGTAGCCTGCAAAAAAGGTTTATCAAAAACAAAATCATTATGTGAACACCAAATTACCCAAATAAACCCGCCCCCCACCCCCCAAAAAAAAGATTTTCTCTCTCCTTCCTTCCTACGACCTTTAGCCAATTCTCCAGCATATGAGATATGTATCTCAGTGGATATAACAGGGCAGCTATATGAACTATGTTCTAGATTGTCTTAGCATGTTGACAATCCAAAAACAGATGTTTAATTGTTTCAGACTTCGTCAATCTCGAGGATTTACCTGCACAGTCTTCGAATGTGCTCATAGGGATATATTTTGCGTAAGTTCGTTAATAGGGGTGAGTGCACGTGCATTGTGAGCGTCACGTTGCAGCAACATTCAAAAGCGTAGCCAATAGGTTCTCCTGAAGGTAGCCTACAAAAAAGGTTTCTGAAAAACAAAATCATTATGTGAACACCAAATTACCCAAATAACCCCCCCAAAAAAAAGATTTTCTCTCTCCTCCCTTGCTATGGCCTTTAGCCCATTCTCCAGCATATGAGATATGTATCACAGTGGACATAACATGGTAGCTATATCAACTACGTTCTAGATTGTCTTAGCATGTTGACAATCCGAAAATAGATGTTTAATTGTTTCATAGCAATTACAGAAACAACACTTTTGGTTATCCTTCTAATTATTTTGCTAAATTATTCTTTGTTAAAATTACACCTTATTGTGATCATGATTATGTAAATCCTAGTTAAAACCATCTTTACCGTTTGAAAATTGGCTATTCTTACTACCAGGTTATGTCAAACAATTAATTTGTCTTTGGCTAGGGCTCTTCGAAAAGACATATTAAGAGGCCTTTGAATCATGAAAATCCTCAACAGTAGCATGAGGATAATAGACAATGTTATCCTAAAGAGAAATTGTTCTTCCAGGGTACTGTAGAGCATATCCATATATCTTTCTAGAATCTGGTTTGTGAGTCGTCTCTTATCCTAAAGAGATCTCTATCGTAAATGACCCACGTCCTCGAAAATCATCCCTAGCCTTCAAAAGACCTTTTCAAAATTCGGAATCCCTAGGTTTAATTTGAGCCTGAGTCAAATATTTTTGAGCTCGGGTACTTATTCCTGAGTAATGTCCGCCAGTTTTCTTCTCATTCAGCAATGTAAATAACCATTTGCTTAGAAGTCATTGGTTTTTAACTTTTAATGTCTGTTATGCCCAACCCACCGTGATCTTTAGTGCGACATAGAATGTCCCACTATTAGCTAGACTGTATTTTTGTTTTTCATTGTTGCCTTGCTAAAAGAACTGATGTGAACTTGCAAGTGATTTTATCATCCAAATAGGAAGCCTAACGTTTATTTCTATGTTGTCTTATTAGTCTTGTTTCGTGAGGCAAAGTTTTTGGGGGCACTGATTAGTCTCGTCACATGGGCAGCCGGCGTTGGCTTCCGTTTGTAGATTGTAGTGCAAGGAAATGATCAATTATTGAACACGCCATTGTCCAATTCGCATATACTCGGCGCAAGTGTATTTGCACGCTGGGTTAGAGTTACCCAGCGACATGCGCCGAGTAACAAAACAACGGCCACGCGGCCGGGCGCACATTTACCTCCATGAGTGCACGCTTCGTCGCATATTCATCTCTATGACAGCCTATCTTTTTGAATGCTTATGAACTGGATGAACAAATCTTGTGATTACGAAGTCACAAAGAAGATGCATAGTCGTGGAGCGGATAGACACATTATGTTTACTATTAAAAGAATATTTGGACATAAACTTAAATCTGTATAGACAGGCTCCACTACATACAAAACCTTGAAGAATAGACTACTTGGTGCATTTTCATTCTTTGATCAGCTACCCGTTCTTTGATTCAGGCAAGCTGAAACTCCCATCCCACAGCGCGTTGTAGCCGAGAGCAATAGGTGCTCAGATCTCCCATATCAGACACAGATGTTGAGACTTCGGGAAGTGACATTTGAAGAAAAGAATTGTGGTGGGGATAGGAATAAAGTCAGAGCTACTTTGTTGGGTACTATCGAGAATGCAGAATGGAGCTAGTTGTTTGGCTTTGGAGCTACCAATTCTCAGGTTTTCGCTCGCTAGTATAAGAGCAAGGCTAATTTTCTTCTGGGTCTAATTGTATGTATATTTATAGTCAACGTATATATGTGTCTATTTATTTAGTAGTAGGCTCACCTATGATCTATTTTTTTTTTCTTTCGTAATAAAATTTTTTAGTTCTTGTGCATCAGCAGCTGAGTATAAATTTAAAGTTCACTTATTTTTTCTCTCCTCTCCACCTCACATAAAGCCTAACGACAGTCTATTATTACATATGCTCTAAGCGAGCCGAACTGGCGAGGAGAGGCGCGAGATGAGGCAACGGTTACTCAGCAACTTAAGCACGTCCTGATATGCAATGAATTTTATATGATTCCTGGCCTTTTTCCGTTTTAAATTCGTTTGTACCAATAAAAATATAGGAGTGGAGAGAGGAAGCAAGAACAGCAGCAGAGAGGGGATCGGTTAAAGCCTTCCCTCTCGCTTACAGGGTTTTATACCACACGGCATGAGTACCACACTGGCTTGTTTAGTTTCTCCTCTAAAGTTTAGTCCATATCATATCAGATATTTAATACATATATAGAGTATTAAATGTAGATTAAAAGAATAACTAATTACATAACTAATTTACGAGATAAATTTTTTTAAGCCTAATTAGTCTACTATTCTAACTGAATTCTACCGCCCCAGTTCTTGCTCTTCTTCCCGAGTTCTCTGCTTTTCCCCGTCCAAACTCTAATTCCGTCCAGTTATCGTCAGGAATCCATCGCAGTTCCTGACAATTGGTATCAAAGCCGTCGTGCAGATCACCTTGATCGCGTTCGTAATCCCCGTCGGCAGGCGACGCTGCTCGCACTTCGGTGTTGATCGCGGCGAAGCCATAAGTCTGAGCCGAGGTTGAAAGGGTCGGTAATCTTGCGCGGGCTCAATCGATCGGTGGCGGTGACTCGTCTGCAAGACTGGCGCCGAAGCGGGGACCGTCCAAGTTCCAGCAAGATATGGACAAGTCGGTGGAAGAGTTGTCGACGCAGTTCGAAACCATGATGAAGCAATTTGCCGGATTCCAGAACATGATGCAGAATTCTTTGGATTCTCTGAACGCCATGGGATCCTGGCAAGTGAGCGCGTGTTCGCGGATTTGCGCCAGCGGGCTGAAGCTACGACGTCGTCCCTGGATGCCGTATCGAAGCGGGTTGATCTCACCACGTCGCGCATGGACTCCCTGGAGACGCGGTTGACGATGGCTCCCGCACCCGCGGCACCGGCGCATCCACTCCCAGGACTACGCCACATGGACCTCAACATTGCTCCCGGGTCGTCCTCGTGCTCACCTGCGAAGGACGGGGAGAGGGCCAATGGCCACGGCGAGGACTGCGGCGGGGTTCTAGGACCCCGGCCGCAGGACATCAACAAAGGTATGTGTCCAGATCCCCATCCACCTCCGTTCGTTTCATCGGATTTAGTGTTACCTGAGAACTTGCGCGCCCCGTATCCTAAAATGGAGGCGCAAAGCGAGCGAGCAACTTGTACGGCGTCCGTCCGTCCGGATGGATGACCTGTAAGCAGCGTCACCGTAAAGATTGTCTTATTATAATCGTGTTACACTTGCTGTCCTGTTTATTTTTTGATGCAAGATCTATGATAAAGCATGTATTAACTGGATTGGATAAATAAAGAGGGTCAATTCATATTGCTTAGCACAAATTGGTCCATGAACGCATTTGGCAGATGAGAGTGGCAAGTAGGAAAGAAAAACGCTTACCCTACAGCAGTACAAGTTATTACTCCAACAAAAGCAGATACACATGACAGAGATTCTCCAGCAATAGTACTAGGTTTAAGACAGACGCGGCGTGGTGGGTTTTCAATCGGCGGTGGCAACAGCAGCGGCGGCGGCGATGGCTAATTTCCGATTTAGGATCAATGCGTTCAAGAACTGAAAACCAGTTATTCACCACGAGCTCCCATGTTGATGAGAGAGACTCCGAGCAGGAGCAACGCCAACATGGCAAAGCAGAGCACCGGGCCAGCCTCGCCGGAGACCACCGTGAAGGCGGAGGAAGCCATGATGAGACCAACGACGGCGGTGTTGCGGCGCACGAACCCTGCGAGAGCACGTGCACCGCCGAATACCGCCGGGAAGGTGGGCACCAGATGGTCGGCCATGCGGACACCGACGGCGACAAGGTTGGCGCCGGCGAGAACCCCCGTGAAGCAGATGAGGAAGGCGAAGCCGCCGTCGCCGAAGTGGATGCCCGCGCTCACAGAAAGCAGCATGATGGTGAGGCCGATGGACATCGCCCTGTTTCCCGGAGTTCTCATCGCCGGCGGCGTGGGGCACCGTAGGCGTGGTCCCTGTTTAATTGAGAAGCAACAAACCAACAAGAGCTTTGCTTTTTCAGGCTCGCAGGGCAGGAATCATGGAACAAGGACGTAATGCGCTCATGTGACGGAAAGGGGAAAATCTCTGAACGCGACATTGCCGGCGCCGTGGACTGCAACCGACACCAATCGATCAACCGGCACGGCGACATGGTGAGATCACACAAAAAAAAAATCGAAAACTCTTTTCCGGCCAAAATTAGAATCGAATAAAAATCGGTATGAGTCGGGGAAGGAACGTTACCGGGCGGAGACGAAGGCGTTGCTGCGGGAGGAGCTGAGGAGTGAGGACGAAACGCTGCTGCAGGACGCCGGATGTGGGCGAGCGAAGGGGAGGCCCGGTGAGTCGGTGAGAGGAGATGCTGCCTGCCTGCCTGGCCGTGTGGGTGCCCCCCGCCTGGTATGGGTTTTTAAAGAGCGGGGTGGGCCCATGCTGCTATGGCTACACGGAGGCTAGACCTAGGCGAGGGCTGCAAACCAAGGCGACACCACCCGCTTCTGGCGTGGTTGGGGCGGAGGCCGTGTCCCCGTGGAAATTGGGGGGAAAGAGCTTCCGGATGGGGACGGGACGGGGCCGGATGGGGACGCGCGCGCGCGCACACAGAGCTTCCGGACGCGCGCGCACACAGACCTTCCGGATGGGGAAGCCAGGCGCGCGCGCAAAAAAAAAAAAAAAAAAAAAAAGAGGGGAAGCCAACCGCAAACGCAACTACTCAGGCTGGGAGGACCGAGAGCTCGGTTGGCTTGCTCGCCAGGTGTGCCAGCGGCCGGCGTAAGTTCGAACCTGGGTTCGACACTCGCATGCCTCACGGGTGTTTTTCCTTTAATAATTTTGCAGGCCTTGTGCATCTGCATATGCGTGATGTGCCATAATGATCAGGGTGACGTGCCCATCACGTGTGAAGCCAGGATGATTTCGGATATCTCTCAGCCACGTGCAGTTTCTTCGTGTAGATATAGGTCTAGCGTGTACACTAGGGTGTACGTGAGTTTGTGTACGGGTGGTGATGTGAGTTGGTGTGTGTTCAGATACAACAACTTGTACTCAAAGAATTGAGGCAAAAAAAAATACTGCTAGGACCCACACATGTCTACATAAAACAAACGTTGTGAAAGCAACATATACACATTCAAGTGTATCTCAAAACAAAGCTTAAAGTATATTCAAGTATCTTAACATAGATCATAGAAGTAAATAAAACCCCAAATATATTCACTCAGACGAGATTAATGCCTCCAAGACTAAAATTATATCAAGATAATATTACCTCTGCAATAAGATGATTCCAAACCACAAGTTCGTGCACGCTGTCCTGGTCCACCGGCCACCGCCCACTCCCATAATCCCATCGGCCAATGCGTCCGTACGTGCTGGTCTATGGGTTCCAATGCGTGCTGCAAATTTGAATCGATTTATCCAAAATACGTGTAATATTTGTGTCGGTGTTTCGAGTAAACACCAATGAGTAAATTTCTAATATTGTGTGTCTGGCTCGGATGGTGTGCTAAGAGAACACGAGGTTTATATTGGTTCGGGCAGAATGTCCCTACGTCCAGTTCGTTGCTGCTGCTTGTGTTACTAGCACTAAAAGTTCGTAGTAGGGGTTACAAACGGGCGAGAGAGGCACAGGTCCTAAGTCTCTCGTGGAAAGAACGAATGGGTGCCGAGAGCTCGATTACTGCTCGGCTATGTGTTCGAGTTTCGAGTGTGATGTGTTGTGATGCTCGTGGATTCGATCCCCTTAGTAGTGGGGTGCCGTGCTTTTTCTTTTATAGGCCAAGAGAAAGCATGGGTTATAGCGGTTGAAGAGAGGAGAACAAGAGGTCGAGGAAGTCCTTCCTGGTCGCCAGGCCTTTCTTTTCCTTTGTGCGGGTCCCACCGACACTGCATGCGGTGACAGGGACGGCTCCATGCCGGAGGCCTGTCCGCCGACGATGCCACGCCCTAGCATTGTCAGTGGGTCGTGATGTCCCACTCCGCCCCGGCGGGCAGCGCGGCGAATCAGCGTACTGATCAGCGGCCGTACAGGGAGTAGGCAGCACAGTGACCACATGTCCGTCACTGTGGGCGATGTGAGTTCCTTCTGGCCCGTAGTGGTTCGCGGCAGCATGGGCTTCCGTTGGGAGCCACGCCCGAGGGGGCGGGCGAGACAGAGCCCACGGCCTTGGTGTCGGGTGAGGCGGAGCCCTCCCTCAGACGTAGGGCGAGGCAGAGCTAGCCCTCAGGCCTCGGACGAGGCGGAAACCTCGTCCTCGGAGTCGGACGAGGCGTGGCCCGGCCCCTGAGGGTCGGACGAGCCGAAAACCTCGTCCTCAGAGTCGGAAGAGGCGTGGCCCGGCCCCTGGGGGTCAGACGAGGCGGAAACCTCGTCCTCAGAATCGGACGAGGCGTGCCCCGGCCCCTGGGGGTCGGACAAGGTGGCAGTTTTGTCCTTAACCGTCGGATGAGCCAACGTGACACTCATTAATCCTTTGGCTCGGATACCCAGATATAGATATCCGACAATAGCCCCTGAGCCTTTGGAGGAGTGGGACACTCCTACAAAGGCTTTTTGCGATCCGTCGTTTAGGGCGCACGGGAGTATTATTCGTTACTGTCGCTTTACAGTCCGTCCGTTGTTTCCGCAACCGGAGGTGACTCGTCGTTTGTCTATGACCACGTCTTTGGTCTCTTTGCGATGCCGAGCCCCCGCGCGTAACAGGGGTCCGATCGGGGGGTCGGTTCATCTTGTGATCATCGTCCCTCACACGTCCATTTGCTAGGATGGAGGGGCTGAGCCGTGCCGTGCTTTCCTCGCTAGACGGCGCATGGTGCTCAATGAGTTGTCAACGGGCTTGTTCGAGTGGAGCCCCGGCATCCCCTTTGTGGGGGCCCGGTTCAAGATCAGCTGATGACTGACTCTAGATTCTTGGTGGCTGGTCCATATAGTTCTTGGATCCGTTCGACCGATCCGAGGGCTCGATGCCTTTCTTCGGGGAAAAACCATGGACCTTGCATCATCTAAGACTCGAAATGAGGGTCAGGACGCCCATGGCGCTTCATGCGCCTTGGGTATTGGCCGCTAGCGGGCCCGTCCTTAACCTCCCCTCACTCTTAGGGTGCCCTGGAGCGGCCGTGAACCCACTGGTGGGCCAGCCTTCGAACTCCTGGGCGTTAATGGGCCATGGGAGCATTTTTAGCTATGTATCCCACTTACTTGCGGCGGTGGCCCATAGCCTTTGAAGGCGAACCGTCACCCGGCGGATCCTTCACGGGGAAGATTTGGATAGGCATGCACTCGACTCTCGAGGCGACGATGCGACTGATGCGGCGTGGAACGGTGAGGGCACGACCCCCGAAGAAAATGGTTCTGGTGAGGCATGGGGCATGTTAATTTAGGCGGATGGTTCGCCCCTCGCCCGTTCCGCCCTTACCTTATAAATGGAGCCGTTTCTCACCAACCATCGTACGCGTAGCCGCATCCTTGCCCCTCTAGTCTCTCTACCTTTTGCTCTCGAGTTTTGGCCTTCGCTCCCCTGTTTCCGCTCCGCCGCCGGTGAAGTTCTCGCTCTCCACCCCTACACCACCGCCAGATCTTCTGCATCGCCATCCCCATTCCTCGATGGAGCCGTGGATTCGCTCGACATTCTCCACGCGTGCATGGAGGGTCTAGTTAAGAAGGGCCTTCTCCGTGCAAGGACCGCGGCGATGGAGTGGATCATACCTAGTGGCGAGGATGTGCTATTGCCACCCGATGGATATGTCATCTCCTTCGTCCCATTCCATGAGCGTGGGCTCATGACTCCTCCCCACCGATTCCTCTGAGGGCTGCTGCATTACTATGGGCTTGAGCTGCAGCATCTGAATCCCAACGGGATTCAGCACATCTCAGCCTTCGTCGCGCTGTGTGAGGGGTATCTATGGATCGAGCCCCACTTCGAGCTATGGAAGTACTTCATCGTCGAGCTGTAGAAGAAGGAGAGGAAGAAGCCGGACCTGGCGGTGTCGATGGGATGTGTGAGCATCCCTCTTCGAGGCAAACGGTCTTTGGAGTATATATCCATCCCACTGTCCAAGTCCAACAAGGGGTGGCATAAGCTCTAGTTCTACCTGAGGAACGCCGCCACCGCCCCCTGCCGATCTTCACCGGCCGCCTAATTGAGGAGGCGCCGGACGCGTGGAGGTATGGGCCCATCGCGAAGGAGCAGAAGAGGCTCGGTGACCTTCTCAAAGCTATTGCGGCTCTAAAGGGTCGTGGTCTTCATGGGACCGGTGTTGTCGGAGTGTACCACGTCAGGAGGCTGGCGTCGCTGATGGCGCATGCTCTTCCGATGTACAAGATGACGTTGGATTCCACGCCTAAAGGGATGGTGATGGTCGCTGGTGAGGCCCTCAGCGTCGGTGAAATGGCACAACGCATCAAGGAAGCGATGGAGTGCCTAGCGGATTTGTTGGTGGATCTTGCCCCGGTGTACTTGGTCCCGAGGCATCCCATGATGCGGCCGAACGCGGGTTTCGTCGAACTGGTAAGTCTTCTTCGAGTTTATTCCCTTGGGTGACCCTCCTCTGCTCTTGGATTCTAAGCGCTGGGATTTATAGCCCGACCTCTTCGCACGTGAGTCCAACCCGCCACTGCCAGAGGACGCGGTCAAGAGGGCAGCGAACCGTGTCACGGCTAAGGCGAGGAAGGCGAGGAAGGAGCGAAAGAAGGCCAAGAAGGAGCGAGTGAAGCTACAATGTGAAAAGCACCGGCAAGGCTCAGAGGAGAGTGATGGCGATGAGGAGGAGGAAGAGTTCGACCCTAACATCCCATGGGGGCGCGCTTGCGAGCGAGGATGAGCAGGCCGACGCGGGGCAGGCCAACCTGACCCCGATTTCGCAGCACGCCCCAGCGTGAACCGAAGAGGATGCGCCTCCAAGATCGGCGAGGGAGGACGCGTCCCTGAGGTTGGCAGAGCAA